CTCTTAAGAGCTACTGAAGTACTAGACCTCCTAAGCATTACTTGCGACAGCTCATTAACTGAGATACCTCATGGAAGATACTTCCATAGGCACTATTAAAAGGAGCACTCATTGTGATTATGAAGCTGGGGGGGGGGTGGTATTTCTAGTAGTGCTGATGTACTTTCCTGCCTTAAAGTTTAGTTTAAGCAGTAGAAAATAAAAAAGAAAACACCACTGTCTTATTTTGGTATGATGTCACGTCACAGTATGACTAGCACTTCATCATGATCACTTTTTATAATGTTGCCCTTTCAGTCCAGCCCCCACAGAACAAGCACGCCTCACCTGGTTGTCCATATCCTTGATGACAAGGAGAACTGGACTGTCGAGAGATGCCGATTTACGGTACAGAGTCTTCAGGCTAGTCCCATGCTCCAGTGTACTGTATGCAAGCCGCCACGGATATCCCTGCACTCGTGCGGGCAAGCGCCGGGCGAGCTGGGCAATGAACAGGGGGAAATGGTTACATATTAAACGGGCTGGGTCACAGGTGGTGCCCCAGACTATTCCCTTTCTGCAGGGGCTTCTGAGCCAAACGGCTGTCAAGCTGATGCCAGCAGCTTAACATCTCCGCCACATGCATGTGGCCTTGTACTCTGAGCCCAACTGTCTGCATTCACACTTGTGAAAGAGATTTCAAAACTGGCACCCCCACCCCGAGCACTGAAAGCGTCACCAGTCCTCAATATCGCAACTCAAACTCCAGAGCTCCAAAATAGAAACATAAGCTTTCCAGGTGAGCCAGTGCTGCAGCAAACAGGACCTTGCACAAGGACACTCCAACATACTAAGTAGTTTCCAAATTCTTAAAAAGCATTGGTATTGCCTCCAGAAGGCAGAATGTCCCACACTCAGCAGAGACAGCACCACAGCTAACAAGGAAACTTGAGGTTTTTCTAGCCATACCTGCTCTATGTGCATATTCTCAAGGAGAGCGCTGTGATGCTTTAAGACAGGCAAAGTATCATCATCTTCTTCTTCATAGTAACTGCAAACGCTCTTTCGTCGTTTCGCTTCTTCTACAGTAATGATCTGAGGCAAGAGAACAAGTGTCCAACCTAAAGCATACCTCTTACACCGTCAATCCTCTGCTGAAGCAACGCAACTTAAAACAACATACTCCTCAGCTGTTACACTGTGTGGAGCAAAACCACTCTACTGGATGGTTGTTTGGTTTCCCAAATCGGGAAAATCTTTTAACCGGCAAGGTGTCTTTGAGAGAGTATGGCCCAAATGTCTTTCATGCCCTGGTGACCTCCTACAGCTGTAGAGTTTTCTGGGATTAATAAATATGGAGGTAACCAGGTGACATCATGTGGTCGGTCTCAGACATACTTGGTCCCAAGTCAGAAGGCTAAAGTCACCTACTTCTTCCCAGGCACACTACGCGTATCTGAACTAGATGCCTTGTGGGAATCTAAATGAGGAGGACACAGAAGCTTCTTTGTTTTCTCTCATGCAGCTAGTTGAGTACATTATTTTTTCAGGTGCTAACGCATGAGAATATGAAAACGTTTAAAATTTCACTTCTTTTTATTAAAACAGCAGCTTTTTCATGGTTTTCTTTAGTGACTCAGACATGGCTTTGTGTAAGCAAACTGCAACAGAAGGAATATAGCAAAGAAATAAAAATGTAAACCAACATGAACAGGTATTTCAAAGTTCTGTCTTCTAGGAAATGTACTAAGGTAAGTAAGGTTTTGAGCATCCAGTTTACATACATTCTTGGAAATACTCATTCTGAGAGTCAAGGTCTTTATAAAATACATTTTTGTTGTGTGATCAAACAGATCTTTGGAAACTTCTATATATTCCTTTGCTTAAGATTTTATAAAAAGAGCACATTGCAATGTTTTAAAAGGTGAGTCAATATAAATATTTCTAACATCAAGTTTGAATTTAAATACTTATAAAATACAGCACAGACTTCTCTCCAGCAACTGCAGGTAAGCCACATTACCTTTTCCCATAAAGCTAGAAACAAAATGAGAATGTGAGTCCATACACTTAATGCTTGTCTATAAAAGGACTCAGCAGTCTACAAGGTGCTGAGGGAGATGGGACAAACTCTGAACCCCACATGGCATGGGCATCAAACAGGAGCTCAAACGTGGTGCAGGGCAGGAGCTCCCAGCCGGACAGCACCCATGGTGCCCGGAGCTCACCACAGAAGGGAGGACAGTACCTCACCCCTTGGCAGCAGCAGTCCAGGTGTCCTGGCTCCTGACAAGCTGCTGCTGGGGTGCTTGGCCTCCCAGCTGGCAGAGAGCATCATCTGGCACAGCTGGAAAGCTGCTAACCCTTCAGTGCAGCTTGGGGCGCTTAGCGAGCGACAGGAGCCTCGGCTCCGCACAGCAGTGGGAGGTAAGATGACGCACACTGAGCCTGGCAGCAGGGCTTTAGCTGGCCCTCGGTGCCACCAGGGCAAACAGAAAGAAACAGCAAGAGCTCAGAGATGAGGCTGATGAGAAAGAAATGGGGAAGCAAGGATGCCTAGATACAAAACAACTGGGAAATCTTAAACCGCCCTTCTTCCATGAGCATATCGCCACAGAGGTCTTACCGTGGAGCAGGAACCTCAAGACGTGGCTGCAGAGCACGCTGTGCCGCTGTCACACACCTCTCTGCAAATATGGCTTCCAAACGACTTTCACATTACACACGGATAAAGTTTTCCACAACGCCTCCGTGCCTTCACAATCACTGCTTGAACTTGCAGAAGCTGTCAACAGTTGAGCCAATTGCCAAGAAGTGCCTGGAGGTCCTACACACACCTGCCCCACAGGCAAGAAAGCAAATCCACTGGACTGACTCCAGGTGCAGATTTAACCACACCACAAAGCACAGGAGCAGCTTTTCATGAAGACCAGGACTGCTGAGGAGTTCACCATAGGGAGGACAAAGCCCTAATACCGTCAGTCACACCTAGCATCTCCAGTGGGATGCAGGCAACATGTCCGCTGCACGTGCTCGTGTCCAGCCCAGCTTCACCTGCAGACACCTGGAGCTGAGCCCAGGGCAGCCACTCGAGGAGGGTGCCAGGGCACTGGCGCTCCGATGCACACAGCGGGGTTAGGAAAAGAGGGCAGAGCCACAGGGCAAAATCCTGCCCGCAGTACTGACGTTGTTACGTGCCCCTGCGCACCGGGGCAGTACAGGTATTCC